AACTGGAGAAAGATGTTGTTACAGCTCCGAGGTAGCTTTGGGCCATCAGACGCACACACTGGAAAACCAGCACCTGGACTTCATGCAGGAGAGACGGCCTCAGTGATGGACTCTTTCATCCTCTACTTTACCTCTAATCTCTTTCTTCTTTAACACACAATTAAAATCACTCCAAAAGAGTGTAAACTTACTGAGGAAGTCTCTAACTTGTACACATTTGTACTTTTACTTGTTTTATGAGTTATTTTTAAGAAGAGTAAAGTTATTCACATAAAGTTTTTATTCTTCTGTATTTATTCTTTTGTATCATGTACTACAGTCATACTGAACTATACAGACCTGGTGAATTGGAGAAAACAAAGATCACACACACACACGCACATATATATATTATTCAGCTTCAGCAGTATTTCTATTCATCTTATGAATTCCAGTCTGATGTCAATTCACTGAGTTCAGTTTTGGTCTTAAACTCCAGAGAATACCACCTGGTTCAACAATCTTTTTATCTGATTATTGGCAAAATGTTTTCTTCTGAAAGAAGAAAACATTTTGTGTCCTTGTCAGAAATCAGATCAATTTCAGCCTCAGGCAAAATTGAGCCCAAAGAAACAACAACAAAGTTTAGTTCCTCTGGATTTATGGCCAAAAATATTTATCACGATATACATTTGAAAATTTGCGATAACGATATAACTGACGATATAATTGATGCGAGACAAAATACAACTCCACAACATTACTAGCGCAAAAAGACAACCTTCTATTTATTTTCACTTAAGCAAGAAGCTGGTTTTTATGTACATTAAAGCTTTATAAAAATGTAACAGTGCAAATGCAAATTCCTTGCTGAGAGTTTAACCAAAAGGCATTTCCAGTAGAAATGGGCTGACATATCCTGAGCATAACTATGTATAATATCCACTGAAGTTAAAAAGAGGTGCTTTGCAACATTAAACTGCAGTGTGCAGTACGTATTTTTCGGACCATAAGGTGCACAGGATTATAAGGCACATTAAGCGAAACAAAGCAGTCAGATAAATCAAACTTTATTAAACTCATTCTTCTTGCTTCCTCCACTTCTGTACCATTGATTCATTAATGTTGAATTCTCTGGCAGCTGCTCTATTCCCATGTTGTTGCAGTATATTAATGACTAACCTCGTATTGTGGATGGATTATCTCAGTTGTTCTCCTGACTGAAGTGTGGTCCGTTTACAGCATCCTGCCATGCGATTGCATTTGTCTCTAACCATGAGGAACCTTCACGTTAACTTTTATAAGTAGAAAAGTGTTAGTGTTTGTCCTCCAGCTTCACTGTTTATGTTATGCTAACATAGCTGTGTCGCTAGCGATCACGTAATATACCAGCTAGCCCAACTTCAGTAACCCTACAAACGTCACTGCTGTTTAGTTTCCTGTCTTCATTTATGTTGGAAGTGATAACAGAGCTGTACGTTTGATTTTTTTCAGTAATCTCTCAGTCAGAACATGCTATATCATGCTTAGGTAACTAGCGAAACTAGCGAGCTAACTTCCGCTAGCTTCCTGCTAACTTCTAACTCCGTTAAATATAATAAATTTTGTTTTCATGGATGCCTGGAAGTTAAACTTCATAGTTACACCTGGTAAAGCAGCAATGCTGATCGTTTTATTAAAGATGAAAGAATTTAGACAGTTTTTAACTCTCAGTGATGCTGCAGTGTTGTTTGACCTGAAGTATACAGAGTTTAGGACCCAGATTACTCCCAGATTTAAGAGCATCTTAGTCCGACAAATACGACAATAACAACGGCCGCTTGCATGTTCTGCAAAAAATGTGCTTTGTTGTGTATCTGACGGACAAACACCAAACCACATCACTGAAGTTGCACCATTTTTACAAACCAATTCTGGTTTATCTGTTTCACTCAACAATCGGCCATGTGCGTATGAAAAAAAAGGCACGCGTTTTACTCATATTCTATCGCGATATTTCATTTTCCTATCGTTGCCTAACATTATACCGGTATTACCGTACGGTATAATATGGCCCAGCCCTAGTTGAGAAGTTTAGCCAAGTGCTTCACATACAGGGGATATGTGCACCTTGGATGTGGGATGCAGCAGGCTGTTGGGATCTGTAGCCGAGCGATGGACCATGTCTGCATAATCTTGATCCACAAGCTTCAGGTTGTCCTTCTTCCCATGGTACTTTTCCAACAGATCATCTATTGCCTCTTTCATGGGTCGTGTCCAGCGTGTGTGGTCCAGCACAAAAACCTGTCCACCTGTCTTTATAGGTCCAGTGCGAGCACTCCTTGGTGAGGCCCGCATCGGCAGAGGTAGCGCTTCAGAGATTTCTGGGAAACAATAGTAATAGTTACTCATATATCATGCAATGAACTAATAATAATAACGTATATATTAATAATAATAATACTAGTAATTACAGTTTGACAATACCATTATGTTAACTTACCCATGACTGTTGTAGGTTGCTGGGTGTCTTCTGATGCTAACTCCTGCTTTAAAAGTGCACCAGAGAAAGGGTGGGTGACAGGTGGTGCTGGTGCAGGGGATGCCACACCTAGCGGTGCCAGGCTGGAGGAGGGTCCCGCTGCTGGAACCTGAAGTTGGGCAGCCACAGGTTTTGGAACAGAGGATGGGGGCTAAAGGGCAGCCGGTTCATCTTTTCTCAGGGTTTTGTGTTTGTCCCAGTTCAGAGGGACTGGACGGCAGCCTGGCTCTCTGTGTTCAAGCCCAAATCGCTCTCCAGTGTCTCTGTCAGAGAGGTGAAGTGCAGGGCACTTCTCCTGACCAGTCACTCTTCTGGAGGCTGCATTCAACTCCACCACTAGAGCTGACTCAAAAACAGAAGGGAGACTGACACCTGGCTGCTCAAGGTCCACCAGTCTTTGGTAGTTCCATTGTGCCACCCCTGTCATGCCCTGGGCCTGGAATAGTTCAGTGGATACATGAGTCCTGGTAATCCACTGGGCCTGGTGGAAATGATAACCCTCCTGCTGTGAAGTGCCTCGGACAGGAATCCAGGGTCACTGAGGCAGCCACGCAGAATGTGCACTCTTTGAATGTGCCACACCTTCAGCATGGATGGCTTGAAGAGTGGGACGTTGTTGGGGTCTGTGGCCAGGTGAAAATGGTTCAGGACCTTTTCCACTCTGTTCAGCAGCTCAGTGGGTTGTGGTATTTGGATCCTGCAGTGCTCCCGTATGTGTTGCTTTGTGGGATTAGCAGGATGGATGCCACAGAACTTATAAGCTTCCTGGAGCCTCTTCCGGTCCGCCTGATCAACCACTGAGAATGCAGCAGAGAGAAGCTGGCAGAAAGTGCTGAACAGAGGATGATGCTCAGAGGTGCACTCCCGCGAAAATCACCTCAGGCAGTGGAACAGGTCCAGTTTTACAATAACGTTCTCATTTTAGTGGGTTTGAGAGGCACAGCTGTTTGCCACTGGTCCAGATGTGGCCGCAGCAACAACAGCAGAAGTAGTTTTCCAGGCATCCCACGATAGATTTTCCACCCTATTATGTGATTTCCTGAGGTCAGATGGCCCAGGATGTGAGTGGGTGTTAAGGCGTCTGGGAAGGGATCTCAAAACTGGATTATAGATGGCATACAGTTGGTGCCGTAAACCACCGCCTCTGTTCAAAGATGGTCACTCACAGTGGACGTAAATGGCTTCCTGGGCCATCTGACCTCAGGAAATCACATGATAGGGTGGGGCCAGGTTTCACAATGAGCTCCCCCGAAACCCTGGCTGATTGTGACCCACACCCGCTTTCACACCTGGGCTCATGTGATTAGGTAGAGGATCATCAGGGGGTCCTTTGTCCCTCTTTGGGGGGAAACTCCCACTGGGTTTAAATCTGGGACTCTCCACCATTTGACCTTAGAACTGAAGAAGCTTCTCGGATGAGAGGTGAAACATCTTCAAGCAACTCAAAGAAGTCCAGACGCTTTTCTTTCCGAGCTCCTTAGATATGGCTGGATGTTGACATCGGAATTCATTGAGCAGGCAGTCAGTCAGGTAATGGCTGGACACAGAGACGCCACACCAGGCATGTGGGTCTTCATAAGACCTGAACTCCTGTGGCTTATTTTCCTTCCTCAGGAACTGCCCAATGGTCCTCTGTCCACGTGCTCCTGCCTCAGAATCTCAGACCGAATCTGTGGCATGGAGGTACGCCAGGTGAGCTTGCTCGTACTTGAGGTGCATGAGTTCATTTATTTGGTTTGCCATGTCTGCTGGAGATTTGCCAGTCCTCCTGAGCTCATTCATAACAGTCTTGCAGATGGCCTTTTTGTATGTAAGTAAAGCAGGGAGAATATTGGTAAACCTTTTGGGCAGTTTCTCCAGCCATCGTGGATTGTCAGCAAACCAGTTCCTCTGACAAGCCCTGCAGCAGAGTCGTGAGGACAGGATGTAATACTCACCACTGGTGCAAACAATTACTCGTGGCCTGCCCACACCAGCAGAGACCACTTGTGAACGAAAGCAACCATGGAGACATGGCAAGATATAATTGTTTCTTAACCTGACCATGATAGCACTCTCAGGTTTCCAAATAAAGAAGGGGTGGAGCTGGAAGAAATTTGGCAATGGTAGGTCAGCCACTGTATCTATGATCTCAGGCTGTGGAGGGAGACGCCAGAGTGAAATCGCGTTCCCTGTGTGACGCACTGGTCGAGACCCAGGCCACAGTCCAACGTCCTGAAGCTCAGTCTTCATCCACAGCTTCTGGTGCGGAGAACAATTCCAGCTCCTGAGGTCATACTCATAACCAGCCACTGGGCAGGGATAGCTCAGTAGGTAGAGTGATGTCCCCATGATCGGAAGGTCGGGGGTTCGACTCCACTGAACGGCTACCCTGAGGTACCCCTGAGCAAGGTACCGTCCCTACACACTGCTCCCCGGGCGCTGCATTGGTGGCTGCCCACTGCTTCACTGGGTGAATGGGTTAAATGCAGAGGAACTATTTCCCTATGGGGACTAACACGCACACTTTACACTTTACTTTACACTTTACTTTTACTTTACTGGAACTGGAACAGCTGGCTGAGCTGAAGGAGCTGGGATTGAAACATAAATATTTGACAAAACAGTGTTACTCTTATATTGTTGCTGTTGGAATACACAGAAAAAAAAAGACATGCTGTATACGCTCACCATCTTCGCTGCTGTCTTCAAAAGTCAGCACTTTGCGCACAGATGTGGAAGCAGCATCTGTACTCGGTCCTGAAACAAATTAATGCAGTCATTCTGTAATTCATTTGTGCAAATTATGAGCAAGATGACAAAATGTAACGTGAGCGTGAATAATATGCTATCATTAATGATCTATGCTTTAAGCAGATGTTTAACTGAACATCAACTATAAATGAAAATAGAGAGGGACCAGGATTTGACTCAGGCCTTTCTGTTTGACTGACCTGTGGTCTCCTTTAGTAGAAATGCCAGCTCCTGTGGGAGGGGCACAGGTGACTTCCTCTTCACACCTGAGGCTGCACCTACAGGTATAGTAATAGAAAAAACTTTTTTTTTACTCTAGACACAATAAAAAGAACATTTAATTATGTGAAAAACATTATAGTTGTTTTGTACCATCGGCTGATGAGGCCTAAAGTTCAGCAGTTGTACTGGACGGTGGTATGGACAGCGCCGCAGATGGAACTACAACAAGAAAACTTGTCAGCAACTTCATAATTTACACTGTATATGAGTGTTGCTGTTAGTAGGAACTCACACATCCATACTCCTGTTTCTCATTGAAAAACAAATGTAATATATTTATATGCAACAGAAATGCCAAACCAAATCATTTTAACCTCTTCACATCAAAGCAGGAGGAGCGGTATAAGTCAGTGAACAACATGCATTCAGGTGTTAGTAACTACTGCTACTTAATTTGTTTTTAACACATTCATAGAGAACAAGAACACATACTCTTTGTGGTTGGTATCAATTCATAGTCCTTTGGACAGTTAGCATAATGCCAGCATACAACCATACTATTAGAGGAACATGGCCAGAACACACAAAACAAGAACAAGACAATATATAAAAGTTCAAGTTCAGGCTCAGTTTGCAGAGCAATTCATGGAAAACTATTGTACTCCAGTTCTGAAACCTTTCATTTGAAAACCTGTGTTTGCTCCTGAAGATCCTCTGGGTGTGGACCCTGCTGCTGCTGGCACAGTGACTAGTTATGCAGAGACAGAGGACAGAGGCATATGAGACAGAAACAGACTTCTGACATTTAGTAATAACGCAGTACTTACAGCTCTGCATTTGTAGTTTTACAGGTGAGATGCTCAGCATTGCGTCCTCCAGGTCTTTATCCTCATCCATCCTTATGATGCAGGCAACAATTAGATAAATATATACTGAACTTATGTCACATCAACAACATTATTAAAATATTCTTAAAACAACTTACCCAGGGGTTTAGTTGGAGCATTTGTGGAAGCAGATGCATAAGCTGCTTCTTCCGCAGGTACTGCTGCAGCTTATGCATCTGTGCCTTGACTGCAGCTCTTCCTCATGATAAAGTCTGCATAGCTGTCACCTCTGCCGTCCCAAATCTCCTTCCAGGTGCTCTTGGCTCGTGAGCCAACGCCAACCAGCTGATCATCCTCAGAGGCTTCTGCAGCAACACTCACTCTGCTGGCCTCGTAGTTCAGAAGAGTCTTTATCTCTGCAAAGCTGAGGGCATACTGTACAAATGAATGCAAGCTCTCCTTGCTATGCCCTTCTTCCACAGAGGTCCCTGCAGCCTCTTGCTTCTGGAGATCTTTGATCAGGCACATGGTGTATCCGACATCATTCCCCAGAAGCCACCAGAAAGATTTCCCTTTATACTTTCCAAACTGCAGGATGTACTGTCCCTGCACTTCCTTCATGTCAGACGCATCCCCTCCTCTCTGATAGACGACAGTCAGAGCATTCTGACGTACAACGTCCTCCCTCACAGGTGCAGACTTGTGCTGACGTTTGGGGTCATTTTTAATCCGTCGAGCTTCTTTTGACGGGTCCTGGAGAAGGTATCCAAGTGGCCCCTTGCGGAACACCACAGAGATTTTCCCTGGATATGGCGCAACTTTCTTGTGCATCTTAACATGCAGTGAAAAAATAAACAATTATATTAAACAAAATTGATTCCAAACAGAAACAAAGACATTTCAGGTTATAATCTTGCTGCACATTGTGGCTGGGTTTAGACAAGCAGGATGCAGGAGAACAATAAAGAGACAAAATCTGAATAAACATTTGCGATATAAGTGTTTTTTCTCCAGGCATTACAAACTGTTCTGTCTGTAAATAAAAACCTTTCATGGTTTAATGCAAAATTTGTGCCAACTGCTTAGTAGTCATGGCACATAAGAACTGCAGGCAGATTATTGACATACCTATTTAAGCTATCGTGTTTATTCGTACACTAGAGGGCATTGCTCATGTTAGTGAGATATCAAGACTGTCGTATAGATAACACTACTGACCATTACAACATGAATGCAATACCAATTAAAAAAAATGCAGGTTAAGTCATTTAGCATTAATTATACCACATTATTGTAATGTCAGTGTCACAGCAGTCAGAAACCTACCAAGTTTATTCAACAGTAAAACACGTGAATGGAACACGCGATTTATTTAAGGAGCAGGTTCATTCATTTTTTACCGTGCCACTTTACAACACCGGATAAACTCCCACTGTCTTTAACCGAGCGATGGATGCTTCGTAAATGCAATCGCAACACGTCTATTACCTGTAATATACACCTGTAAATGTATTCTGTTGGTTTACTCTTATTGCAAACGACGTTTCTTACCTTTGATCAATGAACGAGGATCGTTGAGATGTGTTGCAAGCGGTGCGTTACTTGTTTTGTCTCCCGGAATTTAAAAGTGGAGATTTTTAAAAATTGCAGCATCTCAAACTCGCAACAGCGCCGGAAGACCGTAGTGGCCAAAAATAGATTACATCCGTAGTTGTTTAGCACTACTATAGAGAATGAATGGGAAACGGTTTAGGGCCGTTTAGGTAAACAATCCCAAGCTCCCGCGCGGGTCATCTGCTAGTTCAGCCAGTGATAGTCAGCCTTATCTCAGAAACATGTGTCTCTTTTACCTTAAACTGCAAGGACAGCTGCTAACTGCTTATACAGACTACTTGGATTTGAAGGGGAAAAGGTCTTCTGGACTGCATGACCACAGTTGGTGTCAGCAAAAGCAAGACGTTCCTTCAGACTGATGCAAGGCTTAAGAGGATACGGGGACCGCAGAGTGGCTGCTCAGATGATGTGAAAGAGGTGGTCCTGCTTCTGTTCAGCTACTTTGAAGAGGAGGAGGAGTTCATGCTTTTCCATGTAGAAGATACATGTCTGGCAGATGAGGTGCAACTGGAGCAAGTGTCTCTGACACCCACTATTATTGTCTTTGGTAAGTCTGTTTTATAGCTCTCTCTCTCTCTTTTTATTGCACTGTTTATAGAATGTCATGTACTGCAGTGCTTATTAATATAACTTGTTAAATAATTTGTTCACAGGACAGTCCTGCTATTCCTTAAGAAGATACATGCTGAGTCTTGATCGGAACCTCATCAGCACAAACATATCCTCATTTATTTCTGCATTGTGCATCATGTTCGGGAGCTACTACAATTTTAACATCCATTATCTGAGTTGGCTTCCACTCTGGAAGTTCTTCAAAGGTGAGCAAATATGTCTTTCTTATTTCTCAGACCTGAGACTCTTGCGTTACAACAATTGTGGTTGAGAGTCTGGGATCTGAATCTGGGTACAAGCCTGGCTAAGACTCGGGGCCAGACCAAGACTCAGCTGACGTCTGACTACCTATAACCTTTGGGCTGGATTTTTAAAATGCTAAAGTGTGATTTATCACTGCAAAAGACACATGTTGTGAAGGGTGCCAATACTTTTGACCATGCAGTGTTCACTTCCCAAAGCATTTTGGTTATATTTTGTCTTGAATTTGGGGAAACCAACTGTTGTTGCAGTTTGGCCATGACTGTGTATGTGTACTTATATGGTTGTAACTATTTTTTAACTGACCAATTAAAATGCTTAATATGCTCCTATATGATTTTATTCTACAGTTGTTTCTTCTCCATAAACCCAGAAAAAGGAACCAAAAAAGAGAACAAAAACTTGAAGCATCTTTCCAACAAGAACCCTCGAGTCCTCACCCTGATTCAGGATCTCTCCGACCACGAGTGGCGTTAAGCCTGAATATTGACTCACTTCATGGACTGGTAGCTTTTACATTGTTACAATCTGTACTTTGTACTGTCCACAATGTGTACTTTGAAACTTTTTCTGGTCAAGAGTCCGCCACCTGCTTTTTTCATGAAGATGTCCTTGCTTTGAAGGAATGTTCCACAGTTTTTTGTTTGTTTGTTTGTTTGTTTGTTTTTCTATAGTTCTGTTACTGCAGTGTTCATAGGTTTGTTTCCCCACAGGTGGTTTCCTGATGTTTTGGTACGGTAACTACACATGTGTTTTCTATGACCAGGGCCATGGTTGTGGTGACAGCAGAGTGCGTGTTGCGCGGGATGGTGATTACAGTAATTTTCGCACAATATGTCATTTTTGTTTTAACAGGTTGCTATGTAACTTTTTCTGGTAGAGGGTCTGCCACATGCTTGTTTAATGAAGATGGTTGTTGCTTTGCGGGAATGTTCCACAGTTTTATAGCATTTTGATTGAATTGTGTGACTGTTGTGCAAGTTGAAAAAAATGCATCCAATTGTTGTCAATTGTTTTATTGATGATGGCTGCAAAATAAATTTCCCAAAAGTGATATTTTCCTCACTTGTCTTTTCTGAAGATGTATTTTTGCATGTTTAGGTGTAGGCATAGCAGTAAGAAGTTTGCAGGTTTATGATTTAAACTTTTACATTAAAACATAAAAATACAGCATAGTAATAGATTTTATGTATAATATACAGAGCAGCTCCACTTAAAATGCACAGTTTCACAGTTGTTTTATCAGTTCAAATTTGTTTTTTGTTTGATATTTCCCTGTTAATTTTACAATTTATGGATCCACAATAAGCAATTATTACATGTAAAAAAAATACAGGAAATATTCTATGAATATACAACAATTGTTGTGTGAAATTAACTTCTTTTTTGTAGATTTAACAGTTGTGAGTTTCATTCACTGTAAACCAGTTTACATATTTTGTATGTAAAGCTATCCTGGCTCAGCTTCGGCGCCTAACAAGCTCATCACTAGACCCACTTCAGTTTGCCTACCAGCCTGGCATTGGAGCAGATGATGCCATCATTCACCTCCTACATCGTTCCCTCGCTCACCTGGAGACCGCTGGAAGCACTGTGAGAATCATGTTCTTTGATTTCTCCAGTGCCTTCAACACCATTCTTCCCTCGGTTCTGAAGGACAAGCTGGAGAACTCTGGAGTGGACCATCACCTCACTAACTGGATCCTGGACTACCTCACCGACCGACCACAGTATGTGAGGACT